TATTTCGAATTATATACATTTTTTATAATCAAATAAAAATGGTTCTTCAAATCTGAACCCTTTAACTGGAATTACACTTGATCAACACAAAAACATGAAATACTATTCTACTCAAATACAATTTCAAAAAATTGCACAACTAAAAATAAATAAACTCTTGAGATACATTTCAATTATGTTTGTTTTTAACACCTAAATTTAATATTTGAACAAGGAACGAAGTATAATTAGAAAAAATAAAATAAACATTTGAATAAAAGAAATAATTGAAAAAGAAATAAAAACGATAAAATGCAGGTTAACGTACATAACCTTTTTTTTCAATTAAATAATATTTCTATAAATTAGATTAAGCTGGGCATGGTGTCGGATAAATTAAATTTCATACAGAGAGCAATATTTTTTATATTATTTTGATTTGATATGCAGATCCGGATTGAGAACCCTGACCCGTACACTAATTCAGAGGGTCCGGCCAGCGGGAAGCACGCGCGCGAAATGTGGGGAAAAGCATGCGAGATGTATATATGTGTATAAATAAACGAATTGTATCCCGCGGCTGCCCTTCGGCTTTCTCACGACGTGGTTTACTCGGTTTTGGTGCTCACGCGATCCGCCCCCGCCCATGTAACCCCAGCCTCATGCATCAGCCCCGAGCGAAATTCTGCTGGCCCGAGTTATCTCGGCGAGATCCTTATGGGAAAGCGTGAGAACGCCGGCCGCGCGCGATCTCGGTTAACTCTTTGCGGCCGCGAACGTGTCAATCAAGCCGTGAATGAACCAATCATTAAATGCAGTTTATTTATCCGCATAATGTGCGGTTATCCCTCCGAGGGTTCTTTGACGGAGAGATGCACTTCTCGATCGACCGCAACCCAATTTGTGGTTTTCCCTCCTTGCAGTGCGCCAACCTTCACAATTGTTTGGATATAATATTGATGTTTTTGTTGTACATCTCCTCCATCAGACATGGAGACTGGGAATTTTCAAAAGTGTTTAAAAGTACTTTTTGCAGCGCAACACGTAATCACTGTTCAGAAGCATATTTTATTTACCTTAAATTTGACCTTGTTTAAAAAATTTTGTATTTTATAATAAACTTCATCATAAAAACAAATAAAAAAAGCTTATATTTATAATTTGACTTTTATATGATTATCGTAAATAGTAACAAGTTTTACATTATTAAAAATGAATTTTACGTTTATTTTTTGCAGACCTATTTAAAAAAATTATTTTCTAGTGTTTTAAAATCATTGTTTTCATCGCTCTGTTGATTTAAATTGTTATACATTATATATTCACAAGCAGGCAAAGTGCTACTTGGTAATAAAATTCATAAAATTATTCAATTTAATAGCTCTTCTGGGAAAACCACATACTTACCAAAGTATCCAAATTGGAAGTGTTGGATGATAAAACTATAATTAAAGAAATGATCCAAAAATAAATAATTAAATAAATTTGAGAGTTGTTTAAAATAATTTTATTGATCCATGAACTTAATCTCATACGCGCAGCAGTATATTTTTTATCCAATTATTTATTTATTTTAAGCTCTCAAAATCGTTAAGATGGATTTGATAAAGTTTGTTCGTTTCTTCTTCTACACGCACAATTGAGAAAAGAAATAACAACATTTTTTATTGCTTAGCTCTCTTGACATGGGGAAACAATACCAATTTCGTCTCTTCCTTTGAAAATGAAATAAATGAATATAATTTTTGCCCCCGCTTATTTGATGGCAGATGATGACTAAGGGTGAACAAAACCGGTGCGGCGAATACCTGATTAATGAGAGGAGCCGCGGGAGAAACTGGATCGACTTGGAGGAAAGGAAGCAGGAAGACGGTGTTGTATATAATTTGATAGCACACATACGTATTAATCGCCGCGTGCTGCAGTTTTTTTATATGTATGACGAGCGAGAAAGTACCAGAGAGGCGCACGCGGTGATTAAGCAAGAAAAAAAAAACGATTCCAGCAAGAGATGAAGGAAACGCGCGCGCGAGAGAGATAATTGCAGGCTTCATTCATTCGACTGCGTACTTGATATGAAACCATAAATTTTTTTCTCTGAACCTTTCGCTAATTCTTTTTATATTTTTTATTTTTATGTCTCAGCGAAAATGAAATTAAATTTATCTTCGGGGAAGAGCTCTTTTTATATTCCATCATTTTGGGCTCGTAATTCATGCAAACGTGCGAGAATTAATTTCCGCGCAGTGACAGCACCAATCATCGCCGCACAAGGGAAAAAGCGTAGTGTTGACTCGAAACAGAAAATATACTAATAAAAAATTCATGATATTTTCTCAGATTGTGAAATCCCCGCCGAAGAGCAGAATAATATACAATTTCCATTAACGAAACTGTCGTGTTTGGGTGGATGGGACGTCAAGCGTTTAAAATCATCACCCGTTTGACGCGATGACGGCTTTCCCGCCGCCGCCGCAATCATTATAAATTTCCGTGTGTTGAAAACTTACGGCAAAAGCAGCCAACGGCGGCAAAATGAATTTATATTTTCATTAAAGCAGCTTATTTTTGTAATATTTATGAGCCGCTGGAGTTGATAAAAAAAAAAATAAGCAGTTTTGCCCCATGCTGCTCTGGTCGGATGCGCGCCTCTTCTTAATGACCCGCGCGCTCTTGAATAGTGCGCCATTATTCTCGTAATTACTTTAATAGATGCGCTTTATATATATTTGGCTTGTGCTGCTTTTGAAAGGCGGAGAGGAAAAAAAACGAGTTTGCGAAAATGTGCAGCTTTTCGCGTGTGTGTTGTGTTGTATGTGTCGCCCATTCGTTTTGCGTGTCGCAACATTTTCCATTCATAAATCTAACATCAGACCGGCGGCGGCTTCGGCTTCGGCCGTGATATACCTTTACGACTATCGCCCAATAGGGGGTAGAACAACGAAAATTAAACTGGCAGCGGTGAAATTCATTCGAGAAAATATTGTTTTAGCTAGCGGCTCTGTTATTTCCTGAGAACAAAAGTAAAAAATCTCGCTTTTTACACTCTTGAGTGCATACGTGAAATCAATCAAAGAGGGGCTGCGCGGAAAACAGCCGCTTTGTTGCGATCCGCGGAGATAACAAAAGAAAGAGAGGATCGTTTTTCGGAGGAGATGCTGCAGTGATAAAAAGAATCAGCTCTATTTGTTCTCCGCTAATAGAGGCCTCTTTCTCTTATAATATACCGACCTAAGCTAATATTTTAATAAGCATGAAAGGAAGTCTGTCGGACCCGCAGTCGTGTGCCTGTGCTAATATTTATATGGTCGAAGAAAGAGATCACCACAGATAAATCGGCTTTAGGACAAATAGGTTTACTTTTAACTTTTAAATGCCGTCTTTTCATGAATATGTGGGAACTATGGACAAGAAAGCTATTGCTGAAAGCTATTTTTTTAATTGTTAACATTGATAAAATCAGATATAAATCAGTTCTAAAAAATTTAATCGAAAAATTTTGAACATTCACCAAAACCAGATTGGTTGTTTGTTTCTTTTCTTTCTACATATCAACCTCAGTTAATTGACTTTAAAAATGATTTTAATTGTGTTGAAGAAGACTTGATTTAAGCAACAAAATTTATTTTATAGTTTTATTTTGCAAGAGTAAAATTTCAATCAAATTTCTATAATTAACGCGCTACTAATTATTTGAATTGTGTTAATTTCTAAATTAAATTCACTACATTAATTGTGTTTGTAATGTTAACTATCTTGAACAAACATTTTTTTCAATTAATAATAACAACATAAAAACGAAAAAATTCTCTGCATTTATTTGTGCAATAAATATTTAATCAAATGTTGTGATGTTCTCCGTTACAATTAAATTAATTTTTCAAAGTAAATCATGCAAAATAAATTTAACCCAGAATATATGATAGTATGAAATTGATTATAGTACATTTTTTTATATTGAAAATTGAGAAAAAACATAATTTATAAATAATTGTTTTTTTAGTGAATTTAAGTGTAAAAAATAAAAGAAAGAAAAACACTTTTAAATATAATTCTTTTAAATTATTTTATAGCTGCTTCAAATAATTAAAAAGGCTTATTAATTAAAGAGATTTACATGTTATATGGTTGAAATTACTTGGTATGATATAGTTTGAAAAACTTACAAAACATTTACACGATTTTTTTTACTTATTTTTAGGTACTAAAAAAAATAAAGAGGAATGTTGGAAAAAATGAATCAAAGAGATTAAGATTTTATTTTAAATACGTACAAGTTCAAATTGATCGAATTAAAAGGAAGACAAAAAATGCATCACTTAAATTTATTTTAATTGAAAAATTTGCATGGAAAAAATGAATTTTTTGCTGGCAGCAAAGAAGCCAATTGTAGCCATCATGAACAGTATATGCTCGTTAGAATGATGTGTTGTAATACTTGCGCTCATTACCAATATCATTATGTTCATTGAAAACACTTCATGCTTTAAATTTCAAGCGCACGGTCTGAACTTAATACACTTCATTTTTCATCCGCGCAGGCCAAGCGCAGGAAATCGTTTTTAATGCATTCGCCGATGAACATTTCTTTTAAGCTGCTCTCTCGGCACATAAACTTTTTGATAAACGCAAATTAACAATTTTGCATGGCAATACCAGCCACTTAAAACGCACACGGCTTGTTAAAAAAAAAATCATTTTCTCACCTACTCTTAAATCTCTGTCTTGTAATTTTACTCTTTTGTGCAACAACGCGCGATTCCAGCGTGCAGATAATAATTGCCAAAAGAGAGAGAAGAGGTTTTTGCTGGCGAGCCAAGCGCAGATTATGACTGCGTTACGTCATATTTTTATGAAGATGATTAAAGGTGCGGTGTGCACAGGCTGGACATCGGGCCGGCGCTTGCTTGCTTGCTTTTTCAGCATTTTATATTTTGTTTCCCCTCCTTGGTCTCTCTCGCGTACCTGCGGCCGTAGCGTGCCGATGATGATGATGGTACAACCTGCGCCCCTCTCTTCATACTCGCCGGCCGGGGACCTGAACGCACGGCCACGATCTGCTCGCGCTTATTCTCTCGCCCAAATGCCATTGTTCTGGCGTGTGTACTTTCAGTAAGATAGAGGGAAAGAAAGAGGCTCATTTCAATAATTCCGATTGCGGCGAAAAAAAATTATGATTGATGACGAGACGAGTCGGCAGGACGTGCAGTTTTGTGTATTTTTGTGAAATCATCATATCTCGGAAGAAGTAGAAGAAGGATTTAATTTCACCCCGCCAAACAAAAAGGTAGGATCATATTTTTAATTATATTAAAACTTAAAATAAAAATTAAATCCGAATAATTTATAAATAAATTTTAAAACCTGGGCTCTAATCGCGATTTTTTTTTCTATTCATCAGAATGCTCGAGGAGGAAAAAAAGAGCGGGGAAATGCCCGAGCCCGTGTTGCCGGCCGCGTCGTCGTCGCTGACGGATGAGACGGTTGAGCAGTCGTTCGGTCTGATGGAGCCGGCTTCGCAAAAAGACGACAGTCTGCAGGCGTCGCAGTTCAACGCGGCGGCCGCCGTCATCGCCCTGCAGAACGTCCTCAACCTGCAAACGGCCGCGGCCATGATGCAGCACCAACGCTCGGGCTCCTTCCAGCAAACCCTTGAATCCTTCCTCGCCCTGCAGCGCCTGCAGCAGGCCATGACGACGGTGCCCGAGGCGGCCGCCGACCCGGCCGCTGACCTCGCCGAGCCCGACGACCTCATCCTCAACAACAACAACCTGCCGCTGTACCCGTTGCTCATGAACGTCCTCTTGCAACAACAGCAAAACCTACTGGCCTCGGCTGGCGGGGTCGAGGCGGCAGTGGCTGCGCCCCCGGAAACCACCCCCGTTCTCCAGATGGAGAAGGCGGCGCCGCCGGCAAAACCGAGTCGGCCGAAAAAGCAGTTCATCTGCAAGTTCTGCAACCGGCAGTTCACCAAAAGTTACAACCTGCTGATCCACGAACGGACGCACACCGACGAGCGACCTTATTCCTGCGACATTTGCGGAAAGGCCTTCCGCAGGCAGGACCATCTCAGGGACCACAGGTGAGCAAGCAAGCACCTGGTGCTAATTTACTAACCCGGGGACATGTGTTTTGTTTGCCTTTGAATGGGCCGCCGCATTCAACCCTGCGCGTATAGTGGCATGCCCGTGATAATTATTGTTCGGTGAACACGCCCTTCAGCTTATTTTTTTGAGGAGGCACGCGCGCGCGGGTCGAATATGAAACGGACTGTATATTCAGAGCAGGATGTACATTCAAAGGGAGATAAAGCCGCGGGTGTAATTGCATGGTGTGTGAATTTATGCATGCCTGTCGGCCTGTTTTTAGATTTGCATAATTGCGCAGGGGGCAGCAGGTGCATTTTATTTTGTATTCCTTGCCCCGCAAAAATTAATTGCTGGAACATATAACACTTGCAAAAAAGCCTCGCAGGCATAAGCCTTGTTAGTTTTCTGCTAATCTTTTGTTGCCTTTTAAATGAGATGAGAAAGTCTCGCCCACGCACGCGAAACCTTTTACTTTGTTTTAAAACAAATAAATAATGCGAGCGGAGTGTAGAGATAATTAATGATTTATTGGCCTGCTTTAGATACTCATCGGTAGAGAGAGGAGTGTTTGACCCCTGGCGTAGGGTTGCTCAAATTGATACGTCGGCGAAATTTATGCCCTCTTTTCAGCACCTTTTAAAACGTTTCACTGTCTTCCATTGCTGATCTGATTGAGTACTCAAAGAGTTTGGAATTTTATAAACAAATGGAACTTTGTATATCCTTTGAAAAGGTATTTTAGCATCATTGTTCATTTTTCAATTAAGATTCAAATATATTCAATTATTTAGGGTTTCCATACTTTCAATTATTAACCTAATCACTTGAAATCAATGCATGCCAATTTCGGAGTCGATGTTGATTAAAATTTAAGTTAATTGTGTTTGACATCCTAATAATTTTTATTAATTAGAGTGTTTTTTCTCCTCTACTGATAATAATAGCTTTTAAAAGTAAAATACAAATTAATTTAAATCTTAATTTAATAATAAGCAAAAACACAAAATTAAATAAAAGAAAAAATGTGTCCGTTAAAATATTTGGATAACTTTTTTTAAACAAATTATAGATTAATAAAATAAAATTTTTGTGTGACCAACAAATTTTATAATTTTAGTTCACAATTTGCAACTACTACTTTTAAGTTGAAACGTTTTCAAATTTGTGGGACGTATATTTTGTTTAATTATTGAGAAATTCTTAGCTTCTTTCAATTCCTGCCCAATCAAACTTTCAATTTTAAATTTTCCTTTTCGTCTGATTTTAGGTACATCCACTCGAAGGAAAAACCTTTTCGGTGCTCGCAGTGCGGCAAAGGTTTCTGTCAGGCGCGCACTCTGGCCGTGCACCGCATCTTGCACCAGGAAAGTGCGCCGCATCGGTGCCCGGTGTGCGCCCGCGCCTTCAACCAGCGCTCCAACCTGAAAACGCACCTTCTCACGCACACCGACATCAAACCCTACAGCTGCAGCCACTGCGGAAAAGTGTTCCGTCGAAATTGCGACCTCCGAAGACACAGTCTGACGCACAACCTGTCGGCCCAGCAAATCGGTTTCGACGATTCGTCGCCGAAATTAGCCGGGGGACCTTCCGCAGGGCCTGCTTTCAGCATAGAGGCCATCATGAAGGCGGTTGCCAAATGAATCACTTTATTCAAAGTAAGACAGTCAGTTCGTGCAGCGCGATCTTTGATTTCGAAAGTCCGATTTCAGAGAGAGACATGCAGTTGTGATTTGTTTGTTTGCAGTGCGATGTGGAGCAACGAACAACTTTTGTATATTTATAAACGTTAGAGAAAAGTATACTCGACTTTGAATCTCATTTTTGTACAGTGAATGAATGACGAAGCGATAATGAGGTCAGAATTTGTTATGAAAAATGTTTTTAGAGAGGGCGCGGTGCGGTGTTTCCCAAAGGTTAAAGATCAATGAATGAGACGAAGAGAAGCCCAACCCAATTTACACGTGAAAATCGGTGTTTTACGACCGGCGGATGATAAATGTAAATGAGTATTGGAAATAATTTTTTTTAAATATATATGAAAATCCCACGCGCAGAAACGGATGTTGGGTATGATGAAGTGACCGTTGATGCAAAACATGTAATTAAATTTCATTCGTAAAGATCAAATTACAATAGAGATTTGGCTGCTGGAAATATATAAAATTAAATCAACAGATTTGCAGATGAATTTATTTGGATTTATCATCATGAGAATAAGGACACTCAATCTATCTGCGAAAAAATTCAAAAGGATGACTCACAGTTGGAAACTGTAAAATATAATAAAATTGCCAGCAGATTCTTTGAAATGCAACAGACGCACGCTCTATGTAGTTTTGCGTATAAGTTTTAAGGTAGACCGTTTTTTATTTGTAATTGTGTACAAAGAGTCCTATTGTATAAAACTCGAGCGCGCGGAGTTCTCTCGTCTCGACGACCAGTCTGATATTCGGTGGTGCATATATTTTTTATATTCCAGCGCGCAATCACAAGCCGCTGCTTTATGTTAAAAGCGCGAGAGGTGTGAATGTTTATTATTGTGTAATAATAAATACACGCTCCAACAATCATTTTGTATTGATCTCAATTTATTGCGCCTTTCAAAAAAACACATCTAGAGAGTGGAGTTTTGGCGAGCTGGGTGGCCCGTCGCGGCCGCAGAAAAAGGTGACAAAATCTACACTTTGCTTGGGGATAAGAACAGGATCATCTCTGGTCATAATTTATTTCGGTGATGCCGCTTAGGAAATCTACTAGTGGGAGGTCGACGGAATGCCTTTTTTGTCAAATTGCTTTTTTATTGTGGCGCGCGCACCTTTTATGCAACAATAAAAGTTCGCCTCCTCAACGAGTAAATCTTCCGCTAAACGCCGCCAGTAAAATATTTCTACGATGCATTTAATGAAAAAAAAAATTATAAATATAGCTTCGGATTAATGAATAAAAGATATGGAGTGAAAGGTTTTGACGTTTTAATTATGCAACCGCGCAATTAAAAAAGGTAATTTGTTCAGTTGAGTTGTGTGGTCCGCGATAAGAGATCAGGAGGCAGCCGCCGCCGCCGTCGCCGGCCGGGATGGATGATTTTCCAGGACGACACCTGATACTTTGCCTCTCGCAGGCCCTCCCCATGTTACCCTGACGTTTTTCGTAATTTACACACGCAGCACCAACCACACGACGCTCTCTTATCTTGGCACCCCTCTCTTGCTCACTTTCAAAGTGACACTACATTTTTATTCTTTGTTGGGTTTAAATTATTTCTTATTTAATGGAAAAAAAGTAACGATCTATTTTCTTAAAAAAAAAAATGTTGCAGTTCCTCTTAAAAAAGACAAGTAAAAACAATTTTACTAAAAAAAATTAATGGAATATAACTGAAAATTGCACATTTCTGTTTCATAAGACTTCGTTAATATTATTTTATTGCAAAATCATAATTACTCAGTTTAAGACTTTGGTGGTTTTAATTTTGATACATGTCAAAGAAGGACAAAGTTAACCAACATTTATTTATGCTATATTAAGAGTTTTGCTATAAAATTTTATTTTATTGGACAGAAATCTTTGTTTGAAGGGGGAAAACATAATCAAAACACATGATAATTTATCGTCGCAATAAATGTATGAAAATCTCCTCCTTATCCCCATAGTCCCCACCCAATTATTGCACAATAAATTCCATCTTCGTACACAAGTTTACTACACTGCTCCAGGTTCCATCATAACACAACTAAATAGGCTCATAAATTTTACTGAGTGTGATCTTGAAGCGAGTCATTAAAAATTAATTGATTTATTCAATAAAAGAAGTTCCGTTCTGCTTGAGCAATTTCCTCGTTTTTTTTTCAAATGTGAAAAATATATTGTTTTTAAACGTCTTCATTTTCAAAACAATTCTAAATAATCATGTTGGTTTACAATTTTTGACAGTGGTGCTAATGAAACTATCACACGAAAGTGGATTTTTGAAATGTCGAACAGCCCGACAGCGTTTGAAGAATGCGACCTAGATGGAGGTCCGACATAGTAATAATAGATATGGGATGAGGTGCTAACAAAAGTGCGAAGGGCCCTCTCATCTTGGCCGCGTGCTGGTGTAGCAATTTAAATATTTGAATAAGACGCGAGAGAGCGGGCGGCGAGCGAGCGCCTAATCATCAAAGGTGCAGAATTTTAATGTACCAGAACGCGCACGGAGAAAGAAAGAGGTGTGTGTGTGTAAATGGTGTTCTTCTCTCTCTATTTTTATAGGCGCGGACGCGGCGATATTTTTATTCTCTAGCAGCGTGGTGGGCCATATAAATGTAACAGAATATACATCATTAAAAAGTGCTACAAATAATAAAAAGCATGTGGCGTGGAGGAACTCGACTCGCCGCCGCTTAATAAAATATAAATGTGTGTGTGCATGTGTGTGTTCTTATGATATTTACCTCAACAAGCTCTCTTTATGTGTTTGCTGAGGTGTGGTGCAACAAAATCCCTGTGTGCCCTCTCCACACTAGACAGCTGGTAAAAAGTGAAAAAAAAAGTAAAAAGTGCGCGACAAGGCGCGAGGCTTTGTACTTTGCCGGCTAATCCCCCTTGCCTCGCCGCCAACAGATGCCGACTCGCATCCCCACTTTTTTGACATATATTCTGATGCAGTTCAAGTACCACCAGATAATCTCTGTCGCCCTAATGGGTGTCATTCTCCTCGCGAGCAAAAGAGCAGCCACGCCAGTAACTGTCGCTCGCGGCTTTTGTGCCGCTTCGGGGGTTGCATAAGTCGCGCGGCTGCCGGTTTCAGAGTCGAACGCGCGCACAAAGGGATGCCCCAATTATCTCAGCGGGCGGCACGCGCTTTTCTAACAGAAGCTTGTTAACATGCACAAGCCGATCGATTTAATGATACCAGACAATAATTACATCATGTATACGGCAAACTCCCGGCCGTTTGATCTTGAATAGAGAAAACATATAAAATGAAGATTATGAGTATTTTCACAAAAAAAAAAAAAAAAAAAATCTACATTTGTTCATCAATTTAGTTCTGGCTGCATTACATCTTACTATGGTATTGGCATTTTGAGCCAATTCTTACTAAAATGAACTATAGTTTATTTGAAGTAATAAATAAATTTTAATCGCATACAATGTCAAATTATATATTAATTTTTGTCTTTTATTGGCAGTTAAAAAGCTCATAATGATATTATTTTTAAATTCATACTGTTCTTGGAACAATGAAGTTGTTATTTTAACAACTTTCAAACAAATTTTGAATGCGTCTTGAGGAAAATCTCTGATTTCAAACTAAATAAAATTCCGTCAAAAGAAGATTATAGGCAACAAATATGTGTCCTCGAAGCAAAGATTTTGCCTGCTTTATGCAGGTAGAGTATAATATGGAAGGTTAAATTAATATTATTGTTAAATTGTTTATACCAATATAAAAGCAACTAAAAATAAATTTTATTTTATTTTTCTATTTCTTTAAATTTTTTTTACGTTTTTAAATTTTTAATATAATTAAACTATATTTAATTTTAATTTTTATCATTATTTTTATCAGAAAATTTCGTTTTCAATCATGAAAAATACACATTCAATATAATTTTTTATTCATTTTTATGTGCATAAAATAATACTAAAAATTTATATATAATTAATAAAGTTAGAGTGAAAATATAATTTTGTAATAACTCTAATTGTCAGTTCTGTTGCAGATGGTTGATTGTAAATTGTTATTGTTCAAAATGATTTTCTTATATGAGAAACAATAATAAAAATTTAATAATAAATAATATTGAATTTGTATAATTTTGAATGTATGAATGATGTATCCCGTTATGGGCAGCAATTGCCTTTGTGATATATCAATAAACACAATTTGCAACTAATAAATAAATAACCGAAAATGAAGGGAATTGATGGAATGTTTTAACTAGTGTAATATAAAGGTGAATAAATTAAGAAGTCTTTTTTTTATGAAAATAGATAAATGTTAAAAAATTTATGAGGTTGATTTGGAGCAAACATTGGAAAAAGCGGAAAATAGAAATTACTACACAACCAGTCAAGCGACATTGAATAAGACGCAGGTCTAGTATTTTATCGTCCGTTTGTATAGAAAAGAATGCGCCAAAATTCGTTCCGCCCAAAAAGACGAAAATTCCGCCCCGTCACGATCAAGATATTTCCTCACGAAAGATAGCACCGTTTTAAAATGTGGAACTCTCCAGATAAACAGAAAAAAATGCCACAACACATCTCCGGCAGCAGCAGCAGCAGTCACAACAATTAGATAAAAAATCGAAGCGGGCGAGGCTGCCGTGAAAAAATAATCGACGCCCAGGAATGCATTGAGAGAGAATTTTTCGAGTGTCTTCAGGTTATCGCAATCGCCACCCCCGGCGCACATGAATAATAATGAAGCCGCCCCTCGCGGAATATGGCCGAAGAGAAAGAAGTCGCGCCTGCGAGCATTTCGGTATCAGTGGGAGGCTGCGGGAATCAATTTGCTCCTCGCGAAGGGGGGCATAATCGATGATTGATTGTTACCCATTTTTATTTTTCGATAATCTGCGCGCACCAGCGGGTGTATTAATAAAAAAAATCACGTGTACATAATGAAGCGGAGAGGGAATTATTCATTAATTAAAAAGTGGAAAACAAAAAGGTCGGAGCGAGCGAGCTGGCGAGGGACGCTCGGGTGACTGCTTGCTGGATCGATGTCATGTCGGCCGAGTCAAGAGAGCGCGAGTGATCGGATTCGGGCTGACGTTCAGCCTGGTGGGAACTGCCACGCCGATACTCATATCGGCCGCCTAATCTACGCCAAAACGATATTTACTTATTTATGATGTATGGGCCGAGTGCACGGTATAGACACGGTAGCACCAACTCACTCACAAACACTGTCCAACCGCAAGGGTTGCCCTTTTTGGCTCGTGGAAAAGAATCACTTAATTAGTTTTGCAAAACTATAAAATTTTGAAATATCATCAAATAGTATTTTAAGAACTGATTGCTTTTCCTCAAAAAAAATTAATGAAGTAAATAAAAAAAAATATATATATATATATATAAAAAAGAATCATTTTGTTCTGAGTAAATTTGATAAAATTCACAGCATTATTCCTTCATTTGAAAGTAATTATTATTTTAGGGTGTATATTTGTCAAAATAATTGGTATAGGGGTGCGTCCAGGAAAGATTTGAGGGTAAATGTTAAAAATTTTTCTTGAAAACATGCCATTCCAATTTTCAAGTATGTTGTTGGGGTGGTCAAGAGGCCTCGCTCACCAAATTTTCAAGTCAAAATAAGGGGTGCTTTTCCGGGAAATCAGATTTTTCCAAAAACAAAAAATATGGAATATCTTTGCTCCTATTGAGAAATTATTAATGATCTTTTCACTTCCAGACGTAACTTTTTACGCCCGACAACTTTTCTGTTGACAACTTTTGCGTAGGTCAAAGGTCAAGGTCACTAAATTGCAAATTTCACTTTCTGACGCAATTTTTGCAAAGAAGCACCCCTCAGAAATTTTTCGCAGTATAGGAAAAAATGTAGCCCCAAGTGTGTACAACAACATCCTTGATTTTCAGAATGGCATTATTTTTAGCTTTTTAATTAATTTTAAATGAATATTAAAAAACAGTGAAAAATCGCTTTTCCGCAATAGAAAGTAATTTTCAAACAGCGATAACTCATTTTCTGTTAGAGATACGCAAAAATGTTATAGAGCATAAAGGATTTGTTTTGACTTTTTGCATCTAGCCATGTATTGTTTATACAGGTCAGGTCACTTGGGGTCATTGACCTCGGTGACCTGTGACCTCAAAAAATAATTTGTGGGAAATGAGCTTATTAAAACCATTCCATAAAATAGTTCTTCCTAACTATGTGCCAAATATTCAGTAAACTGCTCTTAAAGGTCACAGGTCACTGAGGTCAATGACCCCAAGTGACCTGACCTGTATAAACAATACATGGCTAGATGCAAAAAGTCAAAACAAATCCTTTATGCTCTATAACATTTTTGCGTATCTCTAACAGAAAATGAGTTATCGCTGTTTGAAAATTACTTTCTATTGCGGAAAAGCGATTTTTCACTGTTTTTTAATATTCATTTAAAATTAATTAAAAAGCTAAAAATAATGCCATTCTGAAAATCAAGGATGTTGTTGTACACACTTGGGGCTACATTTTTTCCTATACTGCGAAAAATTTCTGAGGGGTGCTTCTTTGCAAAAATTGCGTCAGAAAGTGAAATTTGCAATTTAGTGACCTTAACCTTTGACCTACGCAAAAGTTGTCAACAGAAAAGTTGTCGGGCGTAAAAAGTTACGTCTGGAAGTGAAAAGATCATTAATAATTTCTCAATAGGAGCAAAGATATTCCATATTTTTTGTTTTTGGAAAAATCTGATTTCCCGGAAAAGCACCCCTTATTTTGACTTGAAAATTTGGTGAGCGAGGCCTCTTGACCACCCCAACAACATACTTGAAAATTGTAATGGCATGTTTTCAAGAAAAATTTTTAACATTTACCCTCAAATCTTTCCTGGACGCACCCATAGACAAATGTGTATAAATGTGTACAAAATCGTTTAAATATTTTTAAATTCAATATAATTTTAAGTGGGGTCTTGTATTTCCACATTATTGATTTACATAATTATGAATTTTGTGGAATTTAGCAGATTTTATTTTTCCTTCAAATTAGCTGGACTATATGAATTTTCATTTAAATTATCCTAGAATTGTTATTGAAAATTTTAACGACATATTTGAAGGTAAATGTTATATTCTGCAACCCTTGAGAGGCTATATTAGTTGCGCAACTCGCGCCTTTCTCACGGCCCCAAATTTTTGTTTTATAATATTTTATTAGAGGCTCCTTCACGATATTTTTTGTATCGATCGTGTCCTAGATTATCCCATGTCAATATTTATTATTTCACCTGTAATCGTGCGTTTAAGTCGCCGAGGCTGCTCTTTATCTGATCGGGCGACTTTGCTGCTCTCTGTTGTATGCCTTGCTCTTGTGCGTGCTCGAAAATTTTTTCCAACGCTGCTTGATGGGAGGGATGTGATTTTACGTCGGAGTGACGTTCAGATAGGGACCTCCACCTTGTTGCAAATTGGAATGGAAAACGCTTTTTAAACATTCAACATGTCAACGCAACGACCTCCTGACTATTAAGATTTCGCTCCAACAAATTCTTGTTTTAATTTTGTATAGATAATTTTATAAAAATTCATAAACGGCTCGTGCTGAAAATCTGCTGAATCATGTTGAATTCGTTTGCTACGTACAATGGATTGGATTGTGTCATTCTAATTCAAATTATTTTGAGACACTAGACATATTTGGCACAATTTTAATTTTTCGCTCTAATATAATTATAAATATGATAAGTCGCCTTTAATTCAATATTTTTGCAATATTCTACCAGAAAGTTTAAATACTACCGCGTAAGAAATTTTACTGTAAAATTATAAGTTTTCCTCGCCTGATTAATAAAGAGAATGAATATAAATAATCAATATTGTTGTTTTTATATGTACACAGTGTTAAAATATAAAAATATATTGAAAGAAAGGGAAACGGCACCGCAACTAGCAAAGATTTTGTAAAACTTTTCTTTTTGTTAATAATTTTAATTTTTACACTTTTTTTAAATTTAACAGGTTTTATTTTTTAACATTAAAAATTAACCATTTTAAATAAAAAATAAACAAATGTAATTTAATATTTAAATCTTGTTTTGTGCAATGCATAGAAAGCAATTTTGAAAACTCAAAATTAATTACAATGAAAGAAATATGAAGAGTGATTATCTTACTCTGAAAGACTATAAATGTTGAGATCAGCTTAAAATTGTTAGAGAGAAGTATCATTAGACTTAAAATATTTTGCAAACAATTTGCTATCAGTCATTTTCAGTGTTATTTTTTTGCGCATTTTTTTTATTGACGGCCTGAGAGAAGCTCCTAAGAAGTGCGTTGTGTTGGTCGTACCATTTAAACATCATAATGTGTTTAGCACTGATTCTCGTTGGTCGCGCGGCAAACAAAAGAAGCAGCAGGCGAAAAATTAAGTCAGCAGCGCAGAAATGAATCGTCGGCGTGAATCAGAGACAAACAGCCCGAGCAGAGATGTGTGTGTTTGCATCTCATTGTCGGTGCCTTTCAGGCCGCCACAGAGCAAAAGACCACACAATCAGTTTGTGTATTCAATCACACACAGACAGCCTCGCCTCTTCCTTTCTGACGAAACGTGTGTTTGTCACCGCGCGCACCAATGTGTATAGCGAAAACCTGCCGGTGCATAAAAACGTTCGCCGTTAAGCTGCGAATGCGAATTCAACACACAAAAATTAGCCTGCGCTCTCCTTTTTTCCAGGAAGTGCGCGATAAGTTGCTTAAATGTCCTCCAGTTTTCTCGTGGCCTAGAGCAAGTTTGCCTTCTTGATTATGATTATAGACTAAATTTGCATAGAAAAAATGCGACAGCCAGAACTAATTTGCGCGTTTCTTTCTCAGGAAGAGTTTCAAGAGAAATTTGCACAAGATATATTAATTAATTTATTAATACAGAAAAATATTAATTGTATTTTCTGTTTAAGCTGTTTTCTAAAATTTAGGGCTGAGAGTTGAGAAAATATAATGCATAAACCTGATAAACCCTATTTGCTTTAGAAGACCTGAATACAGAAGGAACATTTTGAGTTTCAAATGAATTACCACCGTAAATGATCTCTATGCAATTATAAGAATTAAACTTCTATTTCAATTAAAATCGTTAAAACAAATTTTGCATTTTTACCTTAAAATAACCCACTGGTTTTGCTCAAAATGCTTTGTAAAAATACTGCCTATTTTTTATCGAAATATTTTTTGCTTATATCTACTCCCATATGCAAAGTAAATAAATAAAATGGGAAATCTTGGTGTAGAAATTTTCACCTTTTACAATTCGCGGTAAAATTTCACTCTTCACATTGAAAATTTTAAATTTATAGAGCTGAAATAAAAATCAAATATTTAAGCCTTTACGTGTTTAAAAATTGATAATCAAAGTAGTTTATAATGTTTTAAGTTTATTTTTTTATTGCTACTTAAATTTTACATTTTATCTTCCTTAATAATTATATATTTTGTTTTTTATTTTATTTTAACAAATTTTTTTTCTTTTAACAATTCAATCAAATTTGCTATAAATTTCTTTTGATGAATATTTAAAAGTTACTTAATTTTTATAAATTAATACTATTAATTAATAAAATCATTTCGTGGAAAAGAATTGTCAGAGTATACCTAAAATGTATTTAAATCCTGGAGTTCTTCATGATCGAAATTAAATTGATTGAATATTTATAATAATCAAATGAACAAGTAAAACAAAGAAAAATCTAGCTTCCTCAATGAAGATGAGTACCTTTATTGTTTCTGCATGATACAGAATATCCCTATGTATCACGCAGAAACAATAAAATTGCTTATCTTCACTGAGAAAGCTGGATTTTTTTCCTCAAACTATGAACACCTTAAGTGTCAAAAGGTTCCACAACAACAAAACTACAAGAACCTCTATAGAAAAGTAAATAAAACCCAATGAATTGCCCGAAGCGAAAATAAACCTTAAAGGGTAAAATTGCAATTACTGAATTGACTAGAAAGTTTTTCTGGGGTGCCTTGCTTTTTTAAATTTAATTTTAACCTTTAACTCACACGTTTTAAACTTAAACTCTTGTCTACAGTAACTTTGATTCCTCTCTCCCTGGCTCGGTGTCATGAATGGTCTATAAAAGCTGTTGATCCTGGGCGCACGTGTTCGATTTTCTGGCGGACAAAAGGTACAGAAAGAGCGCACCTGGCAGGGCGAAAATCGGAGCTTCTCGAATCCGTCAAGATGCAAATTCAGAGGAGAGCCGTCGTCAAAAGCGGCTTGTTTCGCGCGCGAGTGTGCGCCTCGCAGAAAATGTAAGTATCGGCAATGTGCGGTCGTATATCACTACAAAAACTCGTTGTAAAAACTTGGCCGCGGCCACGGCGGCGCGCACTCTCACAATATAATAATTTTGCTGCCTTGTGTCTTTACTCGTTTTCCTGGCGAGCCACAAAAGGGCGTTGTCTAACATAACCTGAGTGACCCTTACCAGAGTCTCTCGCCTTTGACACTTGTATCTCTCTACAAATTAAATGGTCCCCTCGCGCGCCATTCAATCCGAGCCGATAATAGTTTATAATATTTCTAGGAGAGAGGAATTTATTCTTCTTCTCCTTCGGAAAGAGATTGATACAGCCCGAGAAATTCCAATATCAGTGACGTCAGGCGCGGAATGAAAGGTGACTTGCCTCTTTTTTCCAATAAGGATCCACTCAATCAAGCGGCGCACGGCCAGGGGTTAAATATTCTTTTGGTGGTAGGTCATGGCATGTGTCTTTCACTCTACGCCAAATTGGCTACGATCTGGGGGTTCTCGAGAAAGGAAACGCCGAGCAGCAGCTTGTCTCTAATTTTTTGTAGGTGAATATACGTATAATTTTTATTTATCTTTTATATGTATAAGTTATACAAAGAGGAAAATCATCGTGTCGATATAGCCTTTCTTTATTTCTTTCGAAGCAGACAGGTGTAATAGAGGCGTCTCGTACAAGCATATAATATTAATCACTGACTATCAGCTAAGTCTCTACAAATTAACAGGAATTAAATAAATCTAGACAAAGAATAGCAAAAAAGAAAAGGGTGGGTTAATGAACTCCGGTAAAGCACTAAGTGAGTAGCTCCTATTATTTCTCTATTTTTTTTTAAAGACTGGATATTTACAGGTGCATATAAACTTATATCAAAAGAACATCTCAAAGACTAAGAGGATTAGATAATATCTGCGAGGAGATGAATGGAATATAGGGATACATATATCGCTTTTTAAATTAATACAAACAAAAAAAGTCTAAAAACTCAAATCGCTCGCGGTGTAGCTCGAGAATCTCCAACGCACTGACCATCAGGAACAAACTTATTTTCACATTCTACAAGAACATAAAATCTCTCAAAACAAAAGCCTGCGTGTTAATTATATTAAATCAATCGAGGGAATGCGTGTACGGATGTATATAAATATTGATCGTATATTTATTAAAAAATAATTAAAGCAAGAGAGTTGACTAATCAGCTATAAATTATATAAAATATGGAGTATGTTGAAACGTCCAAGTAATACGGTTATACGGTGTTTATTATCTTGAAGGGTTTCTGTCCGTTGTCAATAATTGAAGTTGCTGGGAGCTGTGGAAGTGTCACTCGCTTGTCGAAACTAAAATGCAAATGAGTAGCGAGTGTACGTATTTTCATCGGTGCAGCCAGCGAGGCGGCACTTAATTAATATATGCGGCATGGGTGCGTGGGATATAGGCTGTTGATCAGTATACATAGCGGTCGTATCCGTTGTAGCAGGGGTTGTTGGGGTAATGGCCAGACCTGCGAGCAGAAACAGTCACATCAGATCATCATCCGCCGCACAATCATAAAATGCCGATCCACTTGTGTGTTTATTAATTATGCATGCAGCAGTTCAATGACTAGGTGGGTTTATCCTTGGCACAACTTTTGCATCCAAGTGCATTGACTTTATAAATTCTTATTTGGAATTTCTTTTGCAAAAAGCCGGAAATTTGCCGAGCGGATTTTTTGAAGTTAGAAAAATCCGGTTCGACAAATTTCGAGCTGAATAAATGTAAAACTTTGAATTCATGCAAGTCCGAAAGGTAGAGCCTCAGTTCACCATGGAAGAATGATTATACAATATATATATATAAAATACGCTGTACAAATTTTTTTATTATTTATTTTTTGCTCAATCAAGGTCCGAAACCAGTTGGGTGATTTTGCACGTGTCTATCATTTTTCCATAATCAGGCTGTCGTTTGGTTGGCAAAAATAATGGGCCTTGAACGCGTCAAGAGGAACAAAGAGATATAGAGAAACCGCGACCTTACTGTTAGTGAGTGTTGGGAGCTATGCTACGAGCTTATAGCCGGCGCTTGCCCTGCAGCTCACCGCATCATCCCACATCTAAAACACACGATCACACGCCGCGACGTTGTTAGTCATACTGTGATCGAGAAAATTATGTTCTTTTGTTTTCTACTCAAAAACTGTTTTTCTCATGTATCTTCTTTACGAGGTCTCCAGAAACACACTGGCAGAAATTGTACAGGTCAAAAATCTAAAATTTTGCTGATCAAAATTCAAGGGTGCATGCGGCACGTTTTTTTTTAATATTTAAATATAAAAATTTATTTTATTTATTTTGGCTGCAGTTCCATCATTGGGGTTGAGAAACACGTGCCGATTATTTTCGAATCAATATTATTATGTACAAAAGACATTCAGCCTGGTTCGAGTCGTACAAGAGGAAAATTTTCATGCGTTCCTCAACCCTAATGAGAGAATAATTTTGGTTAAAAGGATTAAAAAGAAAGTTTTAGAAACAAACAGGAGAATAAACGATATAAATATTTACAGGAAAATTTAAACCCAGATCATCCAATTTAAAAAAATAAACTATTGGAAAATAAAACATTGATTGAAAATTAAAAATAAAATTCATCACAAGGTTGGAAGTGAAAACAGGACCAGGAAACGCGCGGCTTACCTGTGTTGCTTAAGGTAATCCTGCCTCTTGAAGGACTTTCCGCAGGTCTCACAGGTGAACGTGACGTCATCCTTGTGACTCCGCTCGTGGATCATCAGGTTGTAGGGCTTGGTGAAGCGGCGCTGGCAGTACTTGCAGACAAACTCGCACTTGGCCCTCATCTTGCGTCGGAATTCGGAACGATTGGAGTTCCGATCCTCAGCTTCTATTGGCATAATCGCAAACATTGGGACGATTGGGGTTGCTCGGGGGCGCCAGGAAGAAAACAAAAATCAACGAATCGACGAGACGACCGGACGGACGAAATTTGGAATTTGGCAAGCAGCAAGCACGGTTGCTTTTTAGGGCCGCCACGAGGACAGTGGGATCTGGAACGCGAGGTGAAAGAACCCAGCCAAAGGACGCTGACAGTTTTTCGATTTTCCGCTCAGATTTTCCACTGAAATGTTCTCTCGCTACAGGAGTTCATTGTTGATCGGCAACACTCGCAAAATTCACAACCTGAAACAAAAGGAAATTTGCTTTTTTCAGAAGAAGAATAAAATAAGAGAAATCTGTATAATTTTGCCCCAAATTAATCCTATTAAAGTATTTAATAAATTAATGATTATTATAAATGAATAAATGATGAAATTTTTATAATTATTAAAGGGCCTATCTGGTGTTTATATCCACGTTATTTTTTAACTTTCAGACCCTTTAATAAAAAAATCAAATTATTAAAAATTTAAATATCCCATTGAAATAATTGATGCTTTTTTTAAATTCATAATTGTAATTGCATTAAATCCAACTAAAAATATGCGCCCCTCACGAATTTCTGCTATTTTTATATTAACATTGTTAGCATGTACAAATATTTGGCAAAATTCCACGTCACGCGCGCCGTGTAATCTTTTTCGTCTCGATTGGGCGGCATCGCAACAAAAAAGAGAGATCAGCAGCACCCACTTTTTTCTACGCCATGTTCACCTTTCGCAAATCTCTAGCTTACAATAATAAAACGAGCCGAACTTAGTGAAGAACAGTGAATCATAAATAGTGTCATCGCGGCCTACTCTTTGCTTCATCTCGCAGCCGGTTGTTGTTGTGCCAAATTATTTCCTCTCTACTGAGCACATTCAATGGCTTCTCATTATTGCCGAGAAAGATGCATTGATTTTGCACGCCGACCTTTCATAATATAAGTGAACCGCCACAAGATACAACGTCCACCGCTTTTATGCAAATGAAATCGACCACCATGGTGACGAAAAATAAAGCAGCGTGCAATACAGGACACGCAAAGTGTAAATAATATTAAAATAAAACTATTCCCAGTAAGCTATTTAATCTCATGTTATAGGGAAAGAAATTATGAATTTGCAGAATAAATTTCAACAAAGGGCTTTCTGGAGATAGTTTTAGGTAAAAATCAATGTAATATATAATATTGAATGTATGGATGATGTATGTATTTGAGCAGAAAATGCCCGGTGGTACATTAATAAACACAATTTGCAAATAAAAATTTGTCTGGTGTCTTTTTTGAATACACCGTTTATATTAATAATATTTTTTTCTCTTGTTTCAAGAGGTTGATGAAATCCATTAAAGAAATCTCAACCTTTTAATTGACAGGTTACGCTATTTTATAATAATAAGTAATTGTAAATACATATAATATAAATAATAATAATTTTTATTCTAGTACTTTGAACTTTAAAATAATATAAATTAATTTATCATATTATTTATCAATAATTTTCACATTAAAAATTAAATTTAGTTCCATTGCCACACAATCAACTAAATTTATTGTAATATTCAATTTCTTTTACAAGAAATGCGGTATTTTTTTAACCATAATTAAAATAAAGATACACTCTTGATCACTAATATCAATTTTTCCAGAAATATGACTTTCATTGTTTCCTTAATGCTCAACAACTGATTTCTTGAATGTTAATTTGTTGTAACGATTAGGACAATTATAGTGTGAGACAACAAATGATTGATTAATTCTTTTTAGTTTTTTTTATCACAACTCAGTTTAATAACTACCAAACGCTATTTTTTCATTACATGTCTAAGATTAGATGAAAATAAAACTCTTTTGTTCAATCACATGCAATTATTTACTGCATGTGTATCAATAAACAATTTAATAGCTTCGTTTATTTTATAAATGACACCCGCTATAATCGACAGGCAATTTCACAAATTGGCAATATTGCGACCCACACAATGTGTGCGGCATTACCATCAGGTGAATATTCAATTACCCGCACATTAACGACTGTGTGCGCGCACAAGTTGCTCAACACCATTCATAATTTATTTCGTTATTTGCTTTGGATTGCGTTTTATTGATTATAATTTACGTCAATGAAACCGAACACCGGCATCGATAATTATGCCGGTCGAGTGGTGCATGCAAATGACCATATAATATCAACTCTTTATAATGTACGTACGTGTGTGTGTGTTAAGGGGAATAAAGAAAAGAGGCTGTGTGTTGCTAAATGGTGATGAGGTGTTTGAATTACGAGGAGGCTTCGTGCATGCATGGCGCACAAGAATGTCGACTTTCAAGGTTTCAAATGTGCCATCGAGCGGCGGCGGCGGCTTATTATCCGCGCATTTATAAATCTATGTATATATGTAGAAGTGTGCATCTCTCTCTACTGGGGATTTATTAACATACTGTGCGGTGAACTATTTTCACAGCAGATTAACTCTTTACCTTGTAATGCATACGAAATCGTTATTAGCTCTCAGATGAGTGCGTGATTAGTGGAAGGTGACAAACTGTTTGAAAAGTTGTTGCTTTTTGTGGAAAAATCTCACGCGACGTAATTGACCGTTTTTCTCTGTTAGATTTATGAACGAGTTCAACCTTGCATTATGGATGCTTAATTGAAATGCAAAAATAAAAATTACAATTTATTTTTCAATCATGAGATGACGATTGAGAGCAAGAAATGTTGTTAAATTTGCATGGAACTAAAAATTATTATTTAATAAAGGTGGAACTTGGTCCTCCCAGGATAGCATTGCTTTCAACATAATTGTTTTATTGTTGTCCCGTGGAGACTGATAATAATATACCTCAATAGAAGATGCCTTTATTTCAAACCCAATAAACATTCTTTGTTTTACTTACTTTAAATATAGTTTATTTTTTTCTATTTTCAATTTAAATTTAAAAACTACCAATTTTATGTCAAAATATTTTTTTATTAAAAAATAATATTGATCACTTTTGAAAATTTGATATATTTTCAAAAGTTATAAAAAGGAACAATAGTGTATTAAATTAGTCATAAATAATTATATAAATCTTTCTACAAGTAAGGTTCATTTTTATCACTTAAATCCTTAACCCTTAATTTTTACAACTAAACATAGTATATTATCTATTTATGAATATTACAACTTACAATTTAATAATGCTTTGCAGGAATATAAAATAAAAATAGGTGATAATTTAAATTTAAGCGTGTACAGTATCAATTAACATCATTGCCGTTATTTGCTATCAGTGCAATACACAAATAAACTCAATTATTTATCTCCCAAAATTGTAGCCTCTTTGTTTGAGTTAAAATAAATATTTTTTTTCCTAATGATCAACCCAAAAGAAAAATCCTTGGTAATGTTTGTTGGTTAGAAATAGTGAAAAAAAAAAAACCATTAATCTTGCATCGGTCATATTTCATTTGTTTTTCCTTGACCAGAAGCACAAGGAGTCCTGCAAACAACGGAATGAAAGGAAAACACGAGGGAAACAAATCGACTGAGTGGCACAAGAAAAACACGGATAATATCCGAAAAAAGGAGCCGACTGCTGCATTTTTGCAATTATTATTAATAGCCGGCAAGAGAAGTAAAAAAATTGGCCCGTCACCGTTAATGATAGTTCCCTCTTGAGATGAGAAGGAGGATCTTTTTCTCCACAAACAGCCCTAGCTGGCCTGGGAAAAAGATCGGTAGTGTTCCACTCAGGTGAGGAAATATTTTCGCGAGATGACATGTTCAAGTTAAATAGCGGTTGATGAGGGTCTGAATCATAATCATAGGATACAAGCGTTCAGGTATACATGGAGGGCCGCGCTCTTCTATGAAGTAGCTACCCCGTAGAAAAATATGTGAAATGTATATCTGTCGGCCTGCGCAACCTACTACTGGTATAGAGAGCGGCGTCAATTAACTTTATACCTGCTCGGCCCCTCGCGTCATTTTTTCAACTCTTAAGGTGATATATTTGATTACAGCGGCAGTGCCTCTGCATTTTTTTTTTCAGTTTCGTGCGTTGCTTCGAAGAAAACTCTTTTTCGGCGGCGCGGGAGGCTGTAAAATTTGATGCGGCGCCTGCGTTTTATTTTTTATTCTTTCCTTCTATCTTCTATCCCTCGCGTCTTGAAATTCCGCGGTTCTTTAATTAATAAAAAAAAAAAACAATTCAAACGATGCCGAAAACGTGTATCGGTGGTGTTATAGAGAGTGGAATTTTTAATCTAATTGCGGCAGAAATAAGAATAAATATTAAATACTGTTTACAGTAACAAACACCATCATGTACCTAACAGTCAAAATCATAGTAATTGAAATTTAAAAAATTCCAAATTTGGTGTATAAATTATTATTCAACTAATTTTTTAAGTTTTAAATTTGAAATCTGCGTGATTTTATCATTTTTCTTTATTGATCTACTTTTGGCTGGGGAAAAATGGATTGAATTTTTCAGCAAAATGTGATCTAATTGTTAGGGTAAATCTCTATAATTTTCCTAACATATAAACCTCGATTGTTTTAATTTTTTAGAATTAAAAAAATGTATCCGGGCCTTCCCGATCTTCCCATGCTCAGTCTCTTTTTAATGTTCTCATCTCTGCCTCTGTGTCCTTGTTGGAAATTTCAACAGCAGCAGCGAAACGTTCACGGCGGCGGTCGTTTATTTCAATTTAAAATACAACCTGGCAACAAGTGTAGTATAAATAATAATAAAATTCCATTCTGTTGATAATAAAGAATATTTAATTAAAGGAGAAGAGGTAGCCGGACGCAGTGAGGGGTCGCTTTGGAAGAAATAGTCACCGAGCGCGCTACCTCGCAGTGGATTTTCATAATGTATTCAACGGTTGCCGCGCGCATCTCTTCGTCACAATATAATATTTTAGGTCATCAAAAAATGAGCCGGCACTCTGATGAGGCAGGCGGACCTGCTGCTGAAGAAGTCAAACATAAAACTACTTTTTATTCCCAGGCAGAGGCAATAAAATTCCAAAAACGACTCTGCGCTGAGCGCCAGTGATAATTTTTTTTCCATTCGGAGGTGGACAATTTTTTCTCAAAGAAATGATGCGTTTTACAGCGTTTTGATGGTGCCCAATCTGGAAATTAATAACAACTAAGCGTGTGTATATGAGAGAGAGAGAGGACGTGAGTATAAAATAATAATGTAAAATACGGCCTGGGCCCAATCGTGGGATGAATCATTATTGCATCAGGTTTCTTTC